ACCCGCTGGGATTGTCGGAAGTATGTTAACTCGGCAAGCTGGCGCATGCATGAGACGTACATGTAGCTTGCGCTCGATATGAGCGCTTCAATGATCTCGTTTAAGTCAAGTTTCTCGTTTCGAAAGAACGAGTTGGGGTTGTGGACCAAGCAGGTATGCTAGTGAACTCACGTCCCCTACCTATGGTAAGTTGCAGGCTGCAACCTGCAGCCATTGCGCTAGGGAATGCAGTGCTTCGAGCTGAGTTGGTTTGATGTGGTTGCAGTTTTGGTGGCGCCAAAGACAAGCACTAAATGCGTTAAACGGGGATGATGATGCTGTTTCGCTAGAGGTCTTTACACTAACGCCTTCAACGTCCTCCAAGGTTCACGACGACACCTAGCTACCAATTAACTGCACGCAATCTGCTCCGTATTGAGGAGTCATTAAGAGATGCTAATCGATTTTCACGAGATGTGTGTTTGAAGTTGGTGCCCATGTGTGTCCTCGACACGCAGATAAGCATTGCCTTCGTCAGTGCTGGTTCAGTATAATTCGCTGTGCATTTGCAGAGTCTTCATACGGCAACAACCTTTATCATGTCGACTTGGTCACCATCTCGCGATCACTGGAGACTTGCGCTTCTGGTCGTCACCGCCAATGGGAATCGCAAATTCTGCGGTCAAACGCAAGGTGGATACACTGAACTTCAACTATTCGTACTGTGCAGTGCTCATGACAAAGATGACAAAGCTCGTTTCCTAACTTTCCCGAGTGTACATGCAGGCTACATGATATAGAACGTCAGCGCGCTGTGTGGCACGCAGCCTCGTGAATCATGACGGACGTCGAATGAGATCCCGGCGGTCGGCCATGGTCCGAAAGCCATCCACGCGGAGTTCAATAACTCATCAATCGGGAAATCACTTAGAGTGCACCGATCACTATGACGCCAACTTGGAGGCCTTGAAGACTACTGCATTAACCCCATCAGTTGTTTGGTTCTCAAGCTCAGTCCCCTTTAGGCGCTGTTCCGGACACTTAACCAAACACTAAATCATGGCTGGAGACGACGTCGCTGTGCACAAGCCCACGCTCGAAGTCACGGGCAAGGTCGCCGCTGGCAAGGCCGAGGAAGAGTTCCGTAACTACAAGGACTCGGACCGACACGCACTCGTCTCTCGTCACTACGCTCTCATGCGCAAGAACCAGACTGTGGCCTTCCAGGAGAAGATGCAGGCCAAGTACGGCTCCTTCTCCAACACCAAGATGACGGTGTGGGAGGCTTTCGCGGCGCTCAAGGGATACGTGGACTCGTCCGACCCGGACTCGTCACTGCCCAACCTCGAGCACATGCTGCAGACTGCTGAGGGTATTCGTGCTGCCGGCCACCCGGACTGGTTCCAACTCGTCGGTCTGCTGCATGACATGGGAAAGATCCAGTACCTCTGGGGTCACCCCGAGGACGGACAGGAAGGCACAGCCGACGGAGATCAGTGGGCTCTCGGTGGAGACACGTGGGTCGTGGGTTGTAAGATCCCCGACTCGGTGGTCTTCCCGGAGTACAACAGCACCAACCCGGACATGAGTGACCCGCGTTATAACACCGAATGTGGCATGTACGAGCCGCACTGTGGCTTCAAGAACCTCAAGTTCGCTTGGGGCCACGACGAGTATCTGTACCAGATGCTCAAATTCAACGAGACTACCATCCCGGAGGAGGGTCTCGCTATGATCCGCTACCACTCGTGCTACCCGTGGCACAACAAGAAGGAGTACAAGCATCTGATGAACGAAGACGACGAGGAGTTGCTGGACTGGGTGCTCGAGTTCAACAAGTTCGATCTGTACACAAAGGCGGACATTCGTCCGGATGTGGAGAAGCTGTGGCCATACTACCAGGCAATCATCGACAAGTACCTGCCCGGCAAACTGTCCTGGTAAATGGAGCTGGAATCCTACAATGGGAAAGTTGAAAACACGTTGATTGTTGAAGCATTGTAACTTTTGAGGAAATCCAAAGTTCAGCTTTGATCAGTGCTCAGTTTATTTTTTGTCGACAAAACTGTGCTCGACAATCAGAAATGCTGCTTGATGATGATGACGATAAAAAGTGGCTTGTTTACTTCTTTTCTTTTGTTTCTTATAGAAGCCTCATACGCATTGATGCGCGAGACGATAAAGGTCTTGATACTTATCACAAATGTTGCTTGGTTGTGCATGTATGCTGACGTTTTCTTTTTTGTCCACGTTGAGCCCTTCGCGAAATCGGAACTTGGATTGCGGCGCTTATTGCCGCCATCGAAGCGCAGTTTTCCACACTTGCCAACGCCAGAACGAAATACCCACGTTATGCGCATGGTGTCACAGCGTTGGTGCAACGAGTCTATCTGCTTGGTCCCAATCCATCAATGTTGGCTCTATAATCTTTGGTTCCAGCTTTTGCAGTATCACGAACAGTGTTTTCCAGCCTTAGCGCCCAACACCGATGCCGTCCTCCAAAACCTGCACAACAAGATATTTCTATGAAGCGGATTGCGCGAGAGCTCGTGAATCAAACGCTCGTGGTCCTATTACGATATTCTAACCATCTTTTGCGTTATCTAGGTCTGTTTGTTGGCGGTGGCCTCACGACGCGCCGCGTCCTGCAGCAACTCCGTGTCCACTTCTCCCGCCGGAATCTGCACATAGCGGATGGAGCTTCCGCGAATAAAGCAATTCTTCATGTTCATCTACAATAAAAGCAGCAGGAGTTAGCCACATCAAGGCTGTGTAGATTGCTGACTTGATGTGTATATGGTACCAGCTGCGGGAATTTGTCGCCTTCCACGACCGACACGTTGAGTAGCTTGATGTTGAGATACTGATCCACCGAGTCGAGCACACCCATGAGAGCTACGTCGTTCTTGAGCTCCACGGCCACCTCCTTGCCGACCAGCGTCTTGAAGAACGAGTAGAAGAGCTGGACGCACACAGAGTAAGAACAAGGGGGTTAACTAACACAGGGAGACACACGCAGGCGAAATACGGCGGCCACTTGGTACCATTATTTCGGTCTTGCTTGAATTGTGTTTGGTATTCTACTGAAGGCGGTTTTATCCAATCAAAAATCGTTAACCTCAAATTAATCTATTTGCTGAAATTGTTGTATACTGTATACATAGGGTTGCATTTTCGAAGTGTAGCCATAATTTTTTGTACGAAGAGATTGCGTGAGAGCAAATTGACAAGTTTCACGCAATACCTGTGCTACAACGCGCTCAATATGCAAGAGCTATACGCAGCACGCGGTTAAGTGCATCAACGTGGGGCGTCGCAGTCAATGATCACGGTATTGCGGGGTGCTCTGGGCATCTCCAGCCTAATGTCGATTGGCCAACGCGGAATTGTTCACT